CTTTCTAGACTTTGGGCCTTTATTCTTACCTTAGAAAAATAGATATGGCACATTATTTCCAAATGCTAAAATTTTCCCTCTTTTTAGATAAAATCTCAAATATTAACAGACATGCGAACACTGTTCCTTTCTTTGACTGCTTTCTAGTCTTTCTTGTTAATGTGGCTGCCGTCCACATTGTAATGTTTTAGCCTGTTTTTATTTTGCACTGGCTGCAATTATGTAGTATGATTGATTGCATGCTAGACTTCTGTTTCAATTTAATTGTAATTAGGGATTAGTTCTTTAGTTAGTAAAATTCTTGGGTGTTTTTTGAGGAATTTTCTTTTTAGAATTTTTGTACTTTTCCCCTCATTAGTTTTTTCTTTTTTTAAAAAAAAAACAGCATTGTATAAGCTAGTATTGGGACAAGTATTTGCTTGTAATTATTTCCACTTTTTATGACTGAAAATGTGGGAAGTTTTCGAAGTTTGCATATACACTTATATGTGTGTCTGTAGAAATTGAGTACATCCTACTCCCCAGGTTTGCTTTTAGTTAATAACAGTAATTTTTCAGCAGTGCATCAGCAACATGGTAGAACTGATAATTATTGGATATGATTTTCTGAAGGAAACCTTTTATTATCTTGGTCTTCAAAATATGTCTCAGTGCCTCATGTTTACGAAAGATCTGCTTTGAGATCTGCACTCGAAGGTACAGATCAAGACAGTGTAAATTTCAAAGCTGATCTGTAGGTTTGAGAATTTTAACTCAGGAAAATACTGGTCATGTTTTCTGATATTTGGTGTTGTTGTTTTTGTTTAGTGTTGGTAGTCCTGTAGATTGAACCCAGGGCTGTGTATGTGCAGGATACCCTGCAGCTACATTTCCAGCCATGCAGTGGATGCTTATAGAGATTTTTCCTCTTAGAGTTTGTCCTCTTATTTTATCTTCATTGAATAAGGAAAATTTCAGTTGTAAATCCAGATAAACAAAACTATTTGTGCTGATAGTACTGATACTATCTGTGCTGAAAGTAAAAATGAGATTTATTTGGAGGAACATGCATTCACATGTTACTTAGGTACTTGCCTGCACTGCAGGACCTTCTTCAATTGCTGAGATGTTTTGTTTATTAAGGAACATTAAATCATCTGCAGGTCTATTGTAGTCACTGAGAAAATTGGGTGGATATTGGTCTCTGTTTTGTCTCCTGCAGTTTTCTCTCCATTGAGAGACTCGTGAGAAAAGTTTTTGTGAAAGACAGGCAGGAGAGCAGGGGCATGTTTATTAGTGAGGACGGTCAGTTGCCAGGTGAGGCACAAGTCTTCATAAATAATAAGCAGAAATGTTTAGCATTTTCTTTGTTTTAAATCTGAGAAACCTTTGCTTCAGGTTCAGGGTCAGAAGAATTAGATTTTTATTATTAAAGTCTGTTGACGACTTGAGATGACATTCTGCGTCATTAGGCTAACGGTAAATAGTAACAAAATTGAAGGCTAGTTCTATTGAAAATAATGACTCAGTTTCTGGAGTGCTCAATTTTATGACAGTGTTCTATAATTTAATGCATGCATAGCATGCACTGGAGGGAGCTCAGCAGTTCTGAGCATATACTGCTTTTAGAGGGCGTGAGTTCGGTACACCTTGTCTGTAACTCTAGGGGGTCTGATGCCACTGCCCTCTGTGGGCATCTCACGCTTGTGCACATGCCCCGCACAGACACATACAAATACACATATTTTTTAAGAACTATATAAATAATTAAAATATGCATACCCATGTGAAACACACTATTATATTTTCGTCATGTTTTTAGTTGAGTTTTGATGAGTTTCTCAGATTTTTTTTCTTTTTCAAGGAAGTTCATCAGGAAGTAGAGTAGGCATTTTCTTGTTTTCAGAAGAAGGAAAAATTTAATAATGTGATTTTTTTTAAATGTGCAATGCTTTTATAGGTTTTAACAATTTATTAATTAAAATGAAAAGTTAATACCAAAGACCACAAATTAAATAACTTTATTTGAAATCCTTTTTATCACACATTTTTTCCATAAAGCTTTTAATAAACATCTATAATCACTATGGTTCTCCCAAATAAAATTAACAGTTGCTAGTTATTTAATTTTAATTACAGTTAATAGATTCAGTAAGCGAATTAGTTGTCATGTAATCCATACTCACAGATGAAATGCTACTGTCCTGTGGTAATCAATGCATAGCTACAGCTGGTTGAAGGGGACCAAATCCATTGAAGAGGCGATTTGGTTCCATTTTACCAGCTTTAGCAAAGCATTGCCACTGCTACTTTAGGATCCAAACCGGTTCCATGCTCTTTTGTAGAAACACAGATGACAGTTGTTAGAAATTCCTGTCCTGGTATGCCAGTCGCTGAAAGTGAAAGTCCTACTTGTAGGTGCATGCATGTCCTACTGCTTGCTGCTCTTGACTCTTGCACCTCAGAAGTTTTCTCCCTTTAGCACATTAATGTGAGTCTTTATTTAATTCTTAAATGCACATAATATTCTCTTTCAAAATCAAGAACATCTATAAAAGAAGCATCATATTGTATTTCAAAGTGATGTTTCCAATCTCTCTCTCAGCAGGCTCATTTTTCCTTTCTTTTTTCTTTCTCTTTTCTTTCCTCTTTTCCTTCCTTCCTTCCTTCCTTCCTTCCTTCCTTTTTTTAAATTTTATTTTATACAGAATGTCTCTGTGCAGCCCTGGCTGTCCTGAAATGCATTATGTAGACTAGGCTGGCCTCAAACAAAGATCTACCTGCTTCTGCCTCCTGAATACTGGGATTAAAATGGTGTGCCATCGCATCCAGCCTGCAAGCTTGGTTTTTAAGTAATTAAACTAGAAGTTGAGGAAGAGTCATGCACTGTTATTTTAGTGTGATAGTTGAGGGCTAAGTAGGTTGCTGACAGGAGTGGAGGGATATGAGTGACCTTAAGAAAATACCTTTGTCCTTTAATAGATCACACATGTCTTCAGTATTATGCTTTGTTTTTGCTTATGTTGACATACTAACTTTGGGGGTCGTAATTTAATCTCTTTGAAGATCTGTTTTCTTAATTAAATTCTGTGTTATTTGAGTATAGATTGCTTAGTTCTTATTATAAGATCAGTGATACATTGACATGTGGTAGTTAGCTATAATCCGTGAATTTTGGGTATTAAAATTTACCACATGATATTTTTGAAAGCAGCACTTAGGTACATTTTATAACGTGGCTCTTCTGTAGATTTCCTGTCTGAGGAGAATGTCTTCTGAAACATACTCATAAGATAAAAGTTTGATAAAAGATAGTTTGTAAAATAAGAATGCTGAGTGAACAACCACATTAATTTATTTTCTTAAACTAACTTGGGAGAAGGATGACACAGGCTCAGACAATATGCAAATTGTTGTATATTGTATTTTACTTCTGTTGCTTGTTAAGTATTATGCTTCTGGGGAAGTTAATGTAATTTTCTTTCCATTATATTTCCTACTGGTGAAACAGATATGCAATTGCCTGAACTTAAGTGCTGAAGATAGCACTTGCCTGGTTCTATTTTTAGTAGTTACATGGCAGCCATTCAGCAGATCCAGTTGCTCAAGTGTGCTTTTGGATAGTTCAGTTTCATGTACTGGCCATATCAGGGCAAGGAGAGGCCATGGGAAAAAATAGTACAGGGTTTGATAATGTCAGCATCTGTCATCCCTGCCAGGGAGACAGTTGAAATGTTTGGGTTACAGCAGTGTCAGCAGATGCCCAGAGTCTAACATGTACTCCGTTCAAAAGGAATACCTGATCTAAGTGCTGGACGTGACATTTCAGAGTGATTGAAAACCCTCCTAGATATGTTAGTTAAACTTAGAAGCAACAGAATCAGTTTTAAATTTTACTTTATAAATGAATAGCCAGCATTTTCTAAGAATTATAACAAATTCCTAGTTGCTGAAATATTTTTTTTAAGAATTACTATAACCTTTCAGACCTGTGGAATAACTAAAATACTGTTGTTCATAATTCATTATGAGCAGAATAATACCCTTTGATATAAGCAAGGATAATACAGACTTTAAAATATTTGACAGTTTGTTACCAATACGTCCTCTTTACTTAGTCATGGTCAGCATTTTGTCATTTTTATCCTTCTCTCTCATGCTTTACATATTAATAGCATTTACATTGGAGACTGAGTTAAGAACTGACAAACGAGAGGCAAGGGCTAAAGAGTTCATTTGTACAGTATAATTTTTCTTTAAAAGTAGCCTTTAAAATTGTGGTTTTCTGTAGTATCAGAAAAGAAGATATAAAACTGAAATTTGCCTTAGAAAATCCTCAGACTTTAATAGGTGATACATTTTACCACAGGTGAAGAATAGCTATTAAAATGGGAGTAAAATCACATTTTTAATGTGATTTTTTTTGTTGCCTTATTTTTCTTATTAGATCTATTGGTCCTGATTTGAGTAATGTGATATACTTAAAGTTCAATTGTGAGGACAGAAAACGGTTGCTCTGTGTCTCAGTGTTTTGTGCTATCAGTGCTATTCTGTAGTAGTCAAATTTTAATCATGTGAGTAGTCAAACAATCTATAATGTAGAATTAAAGCAGAAATTAAAATCCATTTCTATGGAATTTTTTCTTTAAGTATAATTAATTTGCACTTGCAAATGACTGGTACTTTTGGAATGGGGATGTTAGTATCTTTGGTGGCCATTTACTTGGCAGTAGGTTACTTCATTGTATGAAGGTCATCCTCCTGGAAAGAATTGCTCCCTTTTGGTGGCCATTACCTACCCAAAATCCATACTTCTTTACATTCCATAGCAGTGTATGTTCATATGGGTACATAAAGAAGTATGTGCTCTGAGTAGGCGCTACTGAGCTGTTTGCTGTGGAAACTTGAAGCATCCCGTTTTCCCCATTTGATAGTGAAACTTTCTTGGTTGCTGATATGGAACAGTGATAGATCATGTGCAGAGATTAGCTTATCAGAGACTAGTGTTACAACAAATTTACCTGATCCCATTATGCACTTAGTGTTCTTTGTTCTTGGTGTACATAAGCACTGGGTACCTCCTTGGTTCTTTTTCAGGAGCTGCAGAGAGTCTATGGAGTCCTGAGTGTATTCAGAAATGCTAGCACTGAGTTGTTCTCTCAGGCACAGGTCCTTTTTCTTCTTCTGTATAATTTACTTCAAGATCCTATAAACAGATGATAATTAGTTTTGAAATTATTTTTATAAATCAGATACTTTTACTTAAAACTTACTGGAAAGGACAGATTACACTAGAATTGATTTTACAGTTGATGCAGGGTTTGAAAGTTGGGTCATTTTATTGGGTGAGTGAATGAATGGTCATAAATGGTAATTTATTTTCCAGTTAAGAGATAAAAAGTCACTATCATTTGGCAAGTTATTTGTTGTTCTTTTGTTATTAGTTCCTTGCCTGAATTTTGTGCTTCTGTTTGCATTGAATGAAAATTCAAATGGATTTGACTTGTGCGAGATTACTTTTCAAAAATGGCTTTTAATATAAAGGAAAATTACCAAAACAATTTAACTTTTTTAAAGTCTCCATTAAAAAACAGAAGCACTTTAGGCTGTGAGACTCTGGATTTTACCTTGAATATTTAGCACAAGAAAAGAAAATTGTGAGTGACCTTTAATCACTGAGTTAGTTCAAAAGGAGACCTTGAGAAAATTTGAGGTTTGGGAAAAATCTAGAAAAGGGAGTCCTGGGAGCCGTGGGGGAGTAGAATTTCTGTGGCTTGTGGAAAATGCTAGTGCAGCTGTGCTGGCATGAGCAGCAGCCAGCCGTGCAGCTGAGAATTGCCATGCACTGTCATACACGTTTCTGTGGCCTGAATAGTAAACGGGGAGACATAGGTTTCTGATGAACAATTCTTGATGAGCTTTTTAAAGCTATCATACTCTTGAGGCATTGATGCCGATTTACCGGAAAAGTGAGAACAGTTGAAACAATTGTTTATCTAAAACGTTAACGACTTAAATCTTTAGTAAGGCAATGTCAGTGGTGGATTGTATAGTTTTGAAGTTATCTGTCATACTATTTGAACAATGGCTTTTTAAAAGCTAAATTGTCAAATTGACCTTTGAAATTAGCCGATGTCCAGATATAGATTAACAATGAAGATATATATCAGTCAATATTAGATAAGCATGCAGAAAGTTGGAAGCATCCTTACAAGTCAGCCTTTGTGCATGGTTACCTGTGAGTTTAGTGTCGTGCAGCATATGCAGGAGGAAGAGAGGTAATGACCTAGAGAGTCATGCCGTAGTCACCGCCGATCCCTTGATTGTTCCCTCACATTATCTGCTAATTGAGCACTGCTTTTTATGAGCTGTGTGAAGTAAGGAGGTGTATAAGTGAACACAGAACCTTACTTTTTAAGATAAATTTAAAAGACAAGTAAATAGATAAAAATCAGATAATCTACTTTTCTTTCCTGCCCTTTCTCAACACACACACACACACACACACCTAGACACATTCATGTGTGCGTGCATACACATACACACACACTAGAATTTAATCAACGTTGGTCATACGATTTGGATTGTAATATATCAATTATTGCATAGATAGGTAGAGAAAGTGAAGTAATGGGGGAAAGTTGCTACAATGGCCAAGAAAATGTATCTAGTTTTTTTTTAAGTTAGATGAAATGATTCACAAGAGGGGGAATTGCAGAGGAAGTTAAAGATCAATTAAAAACAACAGCAACAACAACAACAAAAAACAAAGCTGCAAACAAAACCCCCAGCACACCTCGCTTCCCCAAGTAGCTATTCACCCTGTTTCCTGTGGCCACCAGAGTACATTGGATTCTTCTGACGCCTCAGGAAATATCCTGCATCTTTCTTGCTTTGAGATTCTTTTGGGGAAACGGAAGTTTGAATTTCCAGGGTTAATGGTGGATCTGGAGTGAAGCTGTCTTGTCATATCCAGAGGTCAGTCTGCAATCGAGGTCAGGACTTCACATAGTCACCACAGAGGTCAGCTTATAACCACAGCCTAGGCTGTTAGAGCTTTATAGGCAGCTAAGCATTTGAAACATGCACTCCCAGGCAAGCAGGCTCTCTTGTGCCTCTCTCTTCCCTGACCATATTTAGTCAACCATAGCAAAAAATAGTCTCTCAGCTGTCGATTGTCGATCTGGGGACTGAGGAAACTTCTATCTTGCTTTCTGCCTATTGATTGTTCTTCCTGTGGTCCAAACACTGCTTTGTCATTTGTCCTGCTTTTTTTTTTTTTTTTTAAAGAACTGCCAAATAAAGCGGTGTCTCATGTTTCCACTTACATTTCCCAGATTCTCCCTGAGCTTGTGCTGAGACTAGGAAAACCTCATGTGGTTGTCACTATACTTAGAAGCACCACAGCGAAAAAGGGAGGGAGCACACAACATTTACCCTGGCTAGTAGCAAGACTGTCTTCAGGCAGATTTGGGGGATGTAAAAATCCCTCTATTGCCAAAATGTTTCATAATCTGACTTTTTGTTGGTTAAAAAATTTCTTTTTCTTTTACAATAATGTATTACACAGCTGTTAGCCTATGGGGATTTTGTATAGTTGTGTTTAGGGCCAGTTATTTCTATAGGTGCTTTAAAGACACAATAAGTAGTACTTGCCTGGAGCCTGAAGTGTGAGTGGGGTCGGATCATTAAGGAAAGAGCAGTGTGTAAGGAGTCCTGAAATGCTTAGAGCCCTGTGTGCTTTGAACAATACACGTACAGGTCCAAAGATGACTTTTAGTGTGAGTTGAACTGTCTTATACCTAAGTCTGAAGTTGACTCCAGTTTTCTAAATAGCATTTAGTTATAACCAGCCACAGACTAAAATGGTCATGAATTTGGCATAACTTTGTGGTGTATGTACTGTCCTAAAGACAAGAAATACTTTTTTCTCAATTTTAATAGTACATTCAGAGTAAATTTCAATATAGACATTTGTTTTTGACCAAAGATGAGCAGTATTAAAACATCAAACCCATCAAACCCATGAAGATAAAATTTAAATTTCAAAAACCTAAAAAAAAAAAAAAGTGGACAGGAGAAACCAAGTCCATCTTGTTCTTAATCCAGATGTGTTCTCTGAGCTCAGTCAGGTAGAACTACCTGTTTTCACAGCACCCAGACAAGGGAGTTGTTCTTGACATTCCTTTGTCTTCAGTGTTAAATTGCTGGAGGTGGGTTAGGGGGTACTATTTTAAAGTATTTTAAAGGAATGCTATAGACTTTTACAAATTTTAGAAAACCCTACTTTTTCTAACTGTTAATTATTCACATTAGAGATGATACACATCAGACTTAAAAATAATTCAATTTTCAGGGTCCTAAATGATCCCACTTCGCTGTTCAGTAGCAGTGAACACGGTAGTATGTTCTGTGCTGGGCTGTGACACTGAAAAGAGAATTCCTGCTCCAGGGCTCAGCAGTCCACCAAAGATCCGGTGTTTCTAATACCCTGCCTGGATGTGTTTTTTCATTCTTTCAGCACAACTTTGAGCTCTGTGGTTTCCATGTGCAGATACTCTTCTGTCTGCAGTTGACACGGCTCCAAAGGCTTCTGTCTGGATGGATGAACTTGTCTTAAGTTCTGTCACGGGTTCTGTACTACCTCTTTACCTTTTATTTAGGGATTCTTAAATTAGCTAAGCAAACATTTATTGAACACCCAATATAATGCTGTTCTAATATCGTTTTAAAATTAAATGATACTAATATGCAAGGCTTCTGTCGTTTACCTGCTGTGTTTATTTGAGCAAAAGTTCCCTCTTTAGCTGAAGAAATACATTACAAATAGCATGGCAGGCCCTAGAAATTGACTTAGTGCCATCTGAGCACTACATACCATTGTAGACAGCTGCTTGTCCCCTCTGCTTCTTGGAACTCATGTGTTCGTCATTCAGCAAATGTGTGTGCCAGGGATTATGCTAGGCACCACTATTAGTTGTTCTGGAACTTAATGCTTCATTGGCACTCTTTACACATGCCTGCTTAGCTGGCCATAAGGTCTTATCTATAAAACACCACGTCTTTAACCTGTTGTAAAAGAACTAGTTGAGAAACAAAGAAGAGTGTGTCACCAAATCTTAGGGAATCCAAGGAGCAGTTAATTGACTTCCTAAAGATAACTGATCGACACATACTAAGCTAGGAACAATGTAACTGCATGGCTCCCACAGGTTCTCATTGAACTTAGCTGGAAGTGCTGCATAGAAGAGCCTGCAACCTCACTTTCAGGTTCTATAGTGTGTTCCTAAATTACCCATTCCATAGAAAGAAAAGGACAGACTGCTCTGATCTGGTCTCAATGTATAGAGGTGAGGACCAGGGACCCTTTGTTAACTATCTGTGAGCTTACCTTGCTGACTGGGCCCAAAGATAGTTTTTATCTTTTCAAGGTCATGTGATGTTTTGTTTACTTTTCTGAAGGGGTTGATAAGTTTCTAATTGGGCTCTCTGAAGAGGGGGTTTGGAGAGGTGGCTTCTCAGTTAAGAGCACTGGTTGCTCTCTACCAGAGGACCTGGGTTCAATTCCCAGTCCCCACATGGCAGCTCACAAACTGTCTGTATCTCCAGTTCCAGGGGATTCAACACCTCACACAGACAACACATGCAGACAAAACTCCAGTGCCCATAAATAAAAATAAATAAATCATTTAAAAAAATACTCCTAAAATATATCTCAAGAGAGAGAAGAAGAAGATCTTAACAGAAGCAAAAGTGAATCCCCACAGCTCCAGTGTAGAATGTGCATTAGCCTGTGTGGACGCTTCTCTCAAGTGTGGGTTGTGTGGTGACTTGTCAAGAAGGTAATGTAGAAAGAGCCGAGACACACTCTTCCATCCAGGTGTCAAGAGTGTTTATTGTGTGGATAGTGGGTGAAAAGTGGCGAGAGCCCGTGACTCCAGAGGGAGCATGAGAAGACGCTGATCCCAGGTCAAGAGTTAGAACATAGTTTGTGCTCCACAGGCTTCTCAACTTCATCAAAAGTAAGAAGTGGAAAACTGTCGTGGCTCAAGCCATAGGACAGGTATAATTTGTTATTGAGAGCAGACAAAAAAGAACATTAAATAAACTTTAATTTTTTTTTAAAGCATAGATAACTAGAGGCCTAGGATTATAGCTTAGTGGCAGAACTTGTGTAAGGCCCCTCCATCCTTAGCACCACAAAAATGAATAAGCAAGCAATAAATTAATCCATACATCGTTTTACTTAATTTGCACTTTAAAAAATTGTAATTAGTTTTTAAAGACAGGCTCTTTCTTTACCCTGAGCTTTGACTTTGCGATCCTATTGCTTCTGCCTTTTAAGTGCGATGATTATATCCTGCTTAGTCATGTCCAGCTTCTGTTTTGACTGCAAATATTTTTTTGTTTTACTTTTTAAGGATTATATTTTCCCTTTCCTCCCTCCAAACCCTTCCATGTATGCCCATCCACTGTTCTCTTTCCAAATCATGACCTCGTTTCTTTCCTTGTTATATTTGTGTGTGCATGTGTGTATGCACGTGTGTGTATGTGTATTCCTAAATACATAGATATAGCCTGCTTAGTTACTTGTATGTATATGTATTTAGGGCTGACCATATGATAGTGGATAACCATTTGTTGTGTTCTTTCTCCTGCTGTCAACATCCCTATAGTTCTTAGGTGAGCTTTCCCAAATCTACATTAGCATGTCTGTTGCTGTTGTCCTTGTTTAGGTCGTGTTTAGTAGCCATGTTGGTAAGACTTCATGAGTGTAGCTTCTGACATTTCTAGGAGACACAGTTTCACAGCACACACCCCATTCCTCTGGGTTTTACAAATTTGTCTTCCTCCTCCTTTGAAACAGTCCTGAGCATAAACATTTCTTTACAAGTTAACACCAGTAAACCAAGTGCTGATTTTGCAATGATTGGTTTTACCAAACATTAAGTGTTGTTTCATATTCTTTTAAAAGCATACTAAGATAGGCTATGTGTGTGTGTGCGCGCGCATATATTGTCTTAGAGTCAGGGTCTTATATAGCGCAGGCTGGCCTGGCCTGGTACTCACTTTGTAGTTGAGGCTGTCCTTGAACTCCTTTTGCCTCTGCCTCCCAAGGGCTGGGATTAAAGGCACACTACACCATACTGAGCTTAAGACTTATTTTAAGAAGATTTAATTTTTAGGAAGTATTTATTTATTTTGTTTTTTCAAGGCAGGGTTTCTCTGTGGCTTTGGAGCCTGTCCTGGAACTAGCGCTTATAGACCAGGCTGACCTCGAACTCACAGAGATCTGCTTGCCTCTGCCTCCCAAGTGCTGGGATAAAAGGCGTGTGCCACCACCGCCTGGCTAGGAAGTCTTACTTTAAATCAGTGTTAATTTTAAATTTGTGAAAGTTATGAAATGGTCATGTTTGTGTATTATAAAGGGTTGAGGTGACCATGTTGTGGAAGTGTTCAGAGGAAAGATAGGATGACCCTTGAGTACAGTTCATCATGCTGTGGGGACCCCAACCACAAAATTATTCTTGTTGCTACTTCATAACTGTAATTTTGCTACTGTTATGAATCATAACGTTAATATCTGTTCTGATGGTCTCAGGGACCCTTGTGAAAGATTTATTTGACTCCCAGGTTGAGAACCACTGATCTAAAGAATGTTGGGCCACTGGGGACAACTGTTATAGATTTAAACAGGAAAATCATCAGAATGATTTTCTTGTCTTCCATATAGAATAGTTCCCAGGTTTTGGACTATTATGGCAGGCTAAATGGCAAAAAGAATAGTGTAAATTAAGAGTCTAGAAGGAGTGTACTGTAGGGAAGAAGGGGAAACGAGAGATTTGTGTTGGGCATGGTGGCCCAGCCTGTAGTCCCAGTTCTGAGGAGGATGAAGCAGGAGAATCCTGTAGAGGCCACTCTGTACATGGTGAGACCACGTCCAAAG